TTTTTTTTCTGTTCAGGGTGGTTCTTGCGCCGCTCACGAGGCAGCGGTCGTTCGGAAACGTTCCTCAGCCCCATGCCATACTGTATTACCAGCAGAGAGCAACCAAAGGAGGCCTCCTGATTGCTGAGGCCACTGGAGTTTCAGACACTGCTCAAGGGTACAAGGACACTCCTGGCATCTGGACCAAGAAGCAGGTAGAGGCATGGAAGCCGATCGTCGATGGGGTTCATGTCAAAGGAGGGATATTTTTCTGTCAGATTTGGCATGTAGGAAGAGTCCAATCATAGTAAGTTTACCAACTCTGACATAAGCTTGTCCTCAAACTAAACTTGATACTATAGTAGTAATTACTACCTCTGTACCAAAATATAAGACTTTTTTGGTTTTGCATAAGGCATAAAAAACGTCTTACATTTTGCTACGGAGGGAATATTTCACAAGCAAGAAGGCCTCAAATTTACTTTAGATTTTTTTGCTCGACAATTTACTTTTTTACATTCTGTACAATTATTCACCATTTTATGGCAGCATGAGTCACCTCATGTTTTGCGTAAATGAAAATGCATTAGTAGCCTCATTCTTACTCCAATAATCCTGTTTTTCTACTTCACTGACACATGTTCGTTATCCCTGTGCAGATTTTCAGCCTAATGGGCAGGCTCCAATTTCAAGCACCGATAAGCCAATCAAACCTGCAACGAGAGCCGATGGCATAGGATTGGCTAAAATCTCAACCCCTAGGCGACTACAGACTGATGAAATCCAATTGGTCATCGAAGATTTCAGGGTCGCTGCTAGAAATGCAATTGAAGCCGGTAAGTTCCAATATTCTGACATTCTGCGCTCCAAATGTTAAAGAACAGGCTAAGATTATCATTCATGTTACAGACTTGTCATTCACCCAAATTAGTGCTCCCTCCATTTCAATTTAATACGCATATTAGTTTTGTCTTGGGTCAACCTTTGTAATTTTTGACCAAAAATGTTAACATCTACAATACCTATTAAATAAAATATCAAAATATATTTCATGATGGGTCTAATGATATTGATCTAGTATTGTGAATGTTGTTGTCTTTTTATATAAACTTAGTCAAACTCCACAAAGTTATACTTCAAATCAAACAAAACTAATATGCGAATTAGATTGAAAACGGAGGGAGTATCAGGAGAAAATCAACAATAAAAGGTTCTCATGAATGTTGTGTCAAGTGTCTAACAACCAACAAGTACCTACTGAGTTATGCAACATCGTCTTGACTACTCCTGAAGGAAAGGGATTTCTAACCTCAATGCCCTGCATGGTGTGTAGGATTTGATGGCGTTGAAATCCACGGAGCTCATGGTTATTTGATTGATCAGTTCCTGAAGGACCAAGTCAACGATCGCACCGATAAATACGGTGGGAGCTTAGAGAACCGTTGCCGCTTCGCGCTAGAAGTAGTCCAAGCCGTAGCTGATGAAATTGGAGCTGATAAGGTTGGCATAAGGCTTTCGCCCTTTGCAAGCTACTCGGATGCATCAGACTCAAACCCAGAAGCTCTGGGCCTATACATGGCACAGGCGCTGAACAAGCTTGGAATCCTCTACTGCCACATGGTGGAACCGCGGATGGTGAATATTGGAGAAAAACTCGAAACCCCGCACAGCCTTCACGCCATGAGGGATGCTTTCAAGGGAACATTCATCGTGGCTGGTGGATATGGTAGGGATGATGGAGATAAAGCGATCGCCGATGGCTATGCTGATTTGGTTGCATTTGGGCGCTTGTTTTTGTCCAATCCGGACTTGCCCCGGAGGTTTGAGATAGATGGTCCTCTCAACAAGTACAATAGAGATACTTTCTACCTCTCTGATCCAGTTATTGGATACACTGACTACCCATTTCTACCGTCCGATGTCTGAATGGACCTTTCAGGAGTGAATACCTCCTTCCTGTCATCAGATCATTTACCTTATGTATTGGCATTATATTAAAGAAATAAGGCCATTGTTTTCTTCTCGCTGCTGTGTGTGTGTGTGTATGCTGGATCACCACTTTGTATCCTCCCCCTATGGGGTGTTTAATTGAACGTCAGGCTTCAGCCTTTGGGTTAGAACGGATTGCATATGTGATGTACAAAAATAAAATGAAATTGAGAAGCCAATTAATAATAATTCCGATTTCTTGCCAATCCCACACACTCAATACTTAAATTGGTGCAGCAGTAAATTTTGAGTATGCAGGAAACGGGAAAAATGCTACTACTAGGTTGCCTTGTGAATCCAGCATAATCAGTACAAGTTTGATTTATTTATTTATTCTGCACCTAGCCCACTGCACCCAATGCCTAAATTGGTGCAACAGAAAACTTCAGTTGGAGTTGCTTAATTTGGAACCTGCAAGACCTTCAGGATTTAACCCTTTAACTGATTATTATATCTAAATTCCACTGGTCAGTTAAATGTAAATACCTTCAGTTTCTGTTTTAGTCTGATAAAGTTCAACTTTGCTGTCCTTCAAATTCTTGAAGTGAAAAAAAGGGAAGAGGATCTACTGGACTCTCAAGCTTATCGTAAAAGTAATTGTGCAATCACGCTTTGGAATGAAAATCCCTAATATTACCTGCCATTGTCTCAAGTAAATGTCAGGCTCACAGATTACAGAATCTTATTCTCAGCTTTAATTGTTTATATCACCACCTACAGAACAGTGAAAAGCAGAATTATAAGTACGCGCATAAAAATGAAAGCTGTGTTATGGTTCCTTCAGCATCAGACGTGTTGAAAAAATCCTACTTTGGAACTTTATTTCCAGTGCTGATTTTTTTTATGTGTAGTTTTAATAGAATTATCACCATCACATTCATTTTGTGGGCAATGTATCATGTTCAAAGAAGAGCATTTATTGTTTTACTTTGCAACCATACAGAACCTAAGAGCTGATCAAAATAATTGCTCATCTTGAATTTTGTTTCCACAACAATACTGCGCAACCTAATTAGTTGAGTTGCGAATGACTCCCTACCTCCGTCCCAAAAAGCTCGTCTTAGATTTGTCTGGATATAGATGTATCTAGATTTTGGGGACAGAGGGGGTAGCATGCACCATACGTCCATACATCACCTAAACCTGACAACAATCAGTTACAGTTCAGTTCTAAAACACCTTCCAAGATCCCAAGCAGCTAGCACGCCGAGCAGATGAGCGGATCTAACATGAGAATTTTCTGCTCAATGCACTTTGAAGTAACTACAAAGGAGATAAATAAGCTGCCACAACATTTCCAGATCCAAGTAGGCATCCATGGTGGGCCATGTTCAAATTAGTCTGCAGCAGCAACCATAGCCGTGCGTGCAGTCGTGAAAGTCGAGATCAGTGCCCCAAGCTGAAGTTTATCATTGCAGGCGAAGGTAAGCCGATACCTGCACAGTAAACAAGAGTATATGTGATGTCAATAACGTTGCTGGCTGTTTAAAGAGGCACTGCTAACAGAGTTGTCCTACTTTTGGTCCCCAGTACTTGGGGAATTTAACCTTCAAGAAGAAAGTCAAAAGATGAAAATGGCCATCATACCTTCCTAGCAGAAAATAACTCAAATGCCCAGAAATATTTCCAAGGATCGTTTTATGTCAGTGTCCAATATCTAATACGGTACCACCTAAAAATTTTCAGATATGCAGAGCTTTTCCACAAGTAATTACTTCAACGAAACATGTAGAGAATTCACTTTCTGAAAATCGACAAGTCAGAGACATGTAAAGAATTGACATGGGAAGTTGACCAAACAAAAATTGTGATTTGGAGTGTGGTGCTGTTTCGGCAACATGATTTGTGTGACTAATTGCCATTCTAAGTTGACTAAAGTCTAGAGGAAAGACCATACTCGTCAGGCCAGCCTGGTCATATAAATATATAATGCTAGCCTCAGACCCGTTACAGTTACTGAACTATGGTCACTTACTTGTGTGAGCTAAAACGACTACTGGAATGACATAATACACATAAATCATCAAAACAAATGAGAAGTGAGCATACAGTGCCACTGTTACAGTTAGATGTCAATTTGAGCATAATCAGCAGCAAAATATAATTAATCGAGGATAACTTTGATCAAAGTTCAACTTTAAAAGGATGAACAGGACATACTCGATATCTGCCAAATCATTGATCAACTTTACTCGTACATTGGATGGCATTTTTATTTTGAACACAAACCTGCAAGAAATTAATTGAAATAATTAAAAGAGGGCTTACTAGGATATTGAGAATAAGGAAGTTTAGAATGTACGAAAGGCAGGGGGAGCACTTACATAGTGACCTCCCGTATGATATCAATCAAGGCCAGACCTTTTCTCATCTTCATATCAGCTATATCTGAAAAGATAAGGACACAAATTGCATTAGGCACACATTTAGACCATGAATTATGAAAGATGGTGATGGCGATTAAGAGTACGTTTGAAGCTGGTTGAAAATGGTTCATTTAGTAACCAAAACGCTATCTGCTCAATATCTTTAGGCATGGGGTTTCCCGTGCAAAGGTAGACAGCTTCTTCTGTTATTTGCTGGGATGCCATGTGTGTTGACTGCACATAAAAAGGCAATGTATGTCAGTGTCAAACTAAAGGTACATCAGCTCATGAAAACAAAACAATGTAAGGTTACTCAGACGTAACCTGCAATATATTCAATGACTTCCTCATGTCACCGTTACTTAACCGCACAAGGGCAGTCAAGCCACCCTCATCTACATCAAGCCTGCAAGAACAAGCATAAACTTAGTGCCAGCATACTCGTAGATATACAAAAATTACTGACTTCGCAAGTCCCAACACGGTAATAAAGGAAGTTAAGCATGGAAAACTGAGGAGCCTGACAACAGGTCTATATTCCTAACATAATCTTACAACTAAAAAAAAAGTGTGCTCACCCCTCAGATTTTATTATATGTCGAAGACGCTCAGTAACATGAGAGCCATCAAGTGGAGCAAACCTAAACCTAGTGCACCTTGATTGCAGTGCCGGGATGATTTTGTTCACATGATTGCATATGAGTGCAAACCTTGTGCTCCTTGTATACTTCTCAATGACTGCAGGTAGGATCAGTGTAAATAGATTTAATGAAAATAATAATATCATATGGGCAAACAATGACTAAACAACAGAAAAACCTCTTCGCAATGCAAATTGTGCATCCTTGGTCATGGCATCTGCTTCATCCAAGAGGACCAACTTAACAGCAGGCTTTGCTCTACAAAATTAACAGCCTTGTGAAGAAGTGAACAATGCAATAGTTGCAATAAATCATCACTCTTCAATAGTTCATTCAACCATACGAGCAACCCCAATGCAGTTAAGGAATCAAGAGTGTATGAAATAGACACATGCAAGTACGCCACTCTACCACAAGTATTTAATTCAGATTGTAATTGCATACTTGCAGTGACCCTCATGTTAAAACTAAGTGATCCTACTGCAGTCCACATTAGAACAATAATAGATGGAGCACATGGAATGAACAATAAAACCAAGCACGATGTGAGAACATGGACACCCCTCACCCCCACGCATGCAATAAAAAAGGATATATTCACTTTTTTGGAAAATAAATTATAGGACTTGGTATATACCCAAAAGAGAGGCTGTGTGCACTAGCAAAGTCCTGTATCTGCTGCCTTACAACACCAATTCCACGTTCATCTGATGCATTGAGCTCCAGAATCATGTTGCCATACTGTGCGCCATATATCTTCCTCGCGACAGCTAGTATTGTCGATGTTTTCCCAGTGCCAGGTGGACCGTAGAGCAACAAATGGGGAAGCCTATTCTCGTCTGTAAGTCTGTCAACTACAATAAAGAAAATGACATAAACTCGTTAGATCACCTCAAAGAGCCATGCAGAAATTACATAATCATGCATTAAAGGTGAAAAAAGGCAAGTTAGAACTAGGTAATAATGATATGTTACGGCTTAATGGTCTCAAAATGTGTGGCAGCATACACAGAGCTTCATTTTGGGTCGAAATACCCAATATCAGTACTGCCCAATATGACAACAGCTACACACGGAAACTAATTCTCACCCGAAATCGCAGGTAACATTAAACATGTAAACTGCAAATTTCCAGACACTAAGTAAGCAGTGTAGAACTATCCTAAAGCGTCAAACAAATCCTACTGTGCCCCAGCTATATGGAACCACCAAATTTCAGCAGATCACTGGTGAATCCATACTACATGGCTATTCAACCGAATCCACGCACCATATCTACCTTAACGTGGTAAAACCCACCAACCCGTCCAGCACAGAACCCCTATCCAAAATAAGGGTTCGCCACAAGCTGTCACCAAACCAGGCAGCGGCCGAAGAACCGTCTGAGGTGGTGAAGGTCGGAACCAAGGGGGGAGCGGGCACTCACTGGTGTCGACGATGTCGCGGTGGGCGGCGACGTCGGCGAGGGACTGGGGCCGGTACTTCTCGACCCAGGGCGAGGACTTGACGGCGGCGGCGGCGGAGAGCGGCGCCTTGCCCTTGAAGGCCGGGGGCGCGGCGGCGCCGTCGATGTCCATCGGAGCGGCGGCGGCGGCGCCCGCCATGGCGGAGCAGCGAGAGGCGGAAACCCTAGGGTTGGGGGAGGGATTTGGGGGGGAATGGTTGGCGCCAATTCCAAACCCCTCGCCCTCCTCGGCGAGATTTTAGCGAGATCTCTCTGCTGCGGTCAAGGTTGGAGTGGGGACTGGTCAGTGGGTGGTGCGGGGCGTCGCTCGAAGTGGGCTGGCCATGTCTAGGCTCGAACCCAATTCAAGCCCTAGGCCCAAGCCTACCTGTGCCGTATTTTTCTTAGTGGGTTTTCCTTAGCAAGGCTTTGTGTGTTTTTAGAAGGAAGTTGGCCCTTTTATTATACCTTATTACTTATATGTACTCCCTCCAGAGTGTACTTCCAACCTTATTGGAAAGCCAAACTTTTTATATTTAACTGTACTTATATAATAATACATAAACATTTATGCCATCAAATTAGTAGCATTAGATTCATGATAAAATATATTTTCATCATATACCTATTTGGCTTCACAAACATTAATATATTTCTACACAAACTCGGTCAAACTTTGAGATAGTTTGACCCTCTAACAAAATTGGAAGTGCACTCTTTAAGGACAGATGGAGTATGCAGTAATGTTTTTTTGTGCGGGAAATACTTCCAACCTATTGATCAAATTGCCTCAAAAAAATCTATTGATAAAATATTATGGAGTATAAAGAACACCCGTAACAAAAAATACATTCATGCTCGTGGACCACCTAGCGACGACTGCCAGTACTGGAGTGAGTTGAAGGTGTGTCGTCGTCATCACCCTTGTCTCATAGGAGTCGGACAAACCTTGTTGCCATAGACAGTCGAAAAGTCATCATGCAAAAGCCAACAACCATTGTTGATGAAGAGAAGCAATGATCGGAAGGAACCAATCCATAGACACATGAACGCAGACGAACGAATACCGGATCCACACGGATCCATCGAAGGCAAATACCAACTGAATCCCATGAGATCCCCGGAGACACATCTCCACACGCCCTCTAATGATGGGGGATGCAACGCCAAGACTGGGGTTGGGCGGGAAGAATTTTATTTCATCTTCAGG